ATAAACCCACAGAAAGATGGAGGAGAAAAATAATAAATATAAGAGCAGAAATCAATGAAAGAATACTATATAATAGAAAATATCCAAAAAAAACAAAAATTGTCCTCTTTTTTTCTTCAAAAGACTAATAAAATTGACAAACTGCCAGCAAGATCAATGAATAAAATAAAAGACACCAATAACCAACATCGGAAATGAAAAGATGCTGCAGACATCAATAAAGATTAAAAACAAGATATTATTGACAACTTTATGACAATTATTTTGAATATTTAGGCAAAACTCATAAATTCCTAGAGAAATGTAACTTCCATAATTAGTTAAAAAATGAATACAAAACCTTAATAACCCCATAACCATGAAAGAAATTAAATCATTAGTTAAAATTGTTACTATAAAGCATTAGACTTAGATGGTTTTGTAGAAAGTTTTACAAAATAATCAGGAAATAAATAATTCTAATCTTACACAACCTATTTCAGAATGTAAAAAAAAGAGGGAACACCATTTTATGAATCAGGTATATCCTTGACATTAAGACCCAGAAAATGTGAATTTTTTAATTGTAAATTTACAATAGCAACAAAAAATATAAGCCATCAAGGAAAGAAAACTAACTAAAAGTATGGAAAACTGTATTACAAAATTTTAAAGACATTGTGGAAGACTTAAATAGAAACATATAACAATATACCATTTTTATGGATAAGAACACAATATCCCAATAAAAATATGTTATATTCCCCCCCAATTTGATGTATAGATTAACACAATTCTGATCAAAATCCAAAAATATTTTTGGAGAATTTTAAAGTGATTCTAACATTTTTCTGAAAGAGCAAATGGTTCAAAATAGTCAAGATACTCTCAAAGGAGAAGGAAGAGAAGGTGAGGGAACTTACTTACCCTGCAAGATATCAAGGATTAGAAAGTAATAGCAAGTAAGACAGTATGGTGTTGCCACAGGGATAGACAAATAGACACTGAAAAGAATAAGAAAGCCCCAAAACAAACCTTCACATGAAAGAAAACTTGATATATGGCAAAATTGATACTGCAGATCAGTGGGAAAAGAGGATATACTAGTCAATAAATGTTTCTGGACAATTGAAAAATAAAAATAGAATCCTACCTCACACCCTACACAAAAATCAGTTCCTATTCCAGATAGATGGAGAATGCAAAAATGAAAAGCAAATCTTTAAAAATTTTAGAATATAACATTAGAGAATATCTTTTTGATATTAGGGTAGAGAAGGATTTCTTAAGATATAAAAAGTACAAATCTTAAAGGAAAAGATTTATAAATCCAACTACATTAAAAGTAAGAACAATATGTCAAGAACTCCTACAAATCAATTTAAAAAAACAAACATATCAACTGAAAAATGGGCAAAAGGTATGAACAGCAATTCCACAAAAGAGAAAATGTAAATGACAAAAAAAAGTGTAAAAACATGCTCAATCTCACAGATACTTTTACAAATGATAATGAGATAACATTTCACACTCACCGAATTAGCAAAAATGCAGTTTGACAATACCAAGTGCTGGAGACTGTGCGAAGCAAGAGAACAATTCATATACTAACTGTGTAAGTGTAAATTAAAAAGGAAAACATTTTGGAATTGCATGGTAAAATTAAACACACACATACTCTACCGGCCAGCAATCCATGTTAACATTTAGAGCCTAGAGAATGTGGATAGTAGCATATAATGACAGAAAACTGGAAACCACCTAAATGGACATTGTCAGGAAAATGGATAAATAAATACAATGAGATAATGTACAGCAATAAAAACTGAAAATACTACAGCTATACACGATAACAGATAAGTCTTACATATGTTTGAATGGAAAAAACTAGTTACAGAAATACAAGGGCTGTCTGGAAAGTATCCAGCCATTGTTAAGTTAATATAATGACAGTATATTACACGGCTGGATACTTTCTGGACAGCCCTTGTATAACTGGAGGATATGGTTCAAAAGCAGCCAATATTAAACTGTATATATAGTTATATATATAATTACGTACATATATGTGGTAAACTATAAAGTGATAAAACTATTTTAAAAAAGCAAGGAATGACTCACAAGTAGGACAGGAGGATATGGTCTACCATTGGGGGGAGTCATAATATGGGTTTCAGAGGAACTGGCAATAGGTTTCTTGCATTGAATTATGGACATATGTGTATGTTATATTGTCACCTTTTGTAATAGACATTTATGTTCTCTACAATTTTATGTTTGTATGGTGTATTTTGCAATAAAATAATTAACCAACTAATCAATCAAGCTTGCTAGAGGTTAAAGAACTGCAGCTAGAAGCCACAAGATGGGCCTAGTACGTTTTCAAGGATAAATAAGAGACAGTGAAATTTCCATGAGGCTCTGATTCATGGCTGAAACTAGTGAAAAGCTTCACTCTTGAATGAGAAGAAAGTTTTAAGTGGGGCAGAGACTTCTGCTAGTGCCCTTGGAGGTTGCTGGGGAGTTTGTGACTTGTGATTGCAATAAGTAAATGAATGATTTGAGAAGGGAAACTTGAACAAAGGAGTACTGACTTGCTTTTGTATCAGGAAGGTACATAATTTGTAGTCATGTAGGTACAAAAATGATACTGTCCTTTTTATAAATATGAGGACATTTGTATCTGTTACTTATACAAATAAAAGTTTATTTTTCCTCTCAGAGCAGGAAGTCCAGAAATAGGCAGTGCAGAGCTTGTTCAGTGGGTTAGCAATATTTTCTAAATCCAGGCTCCTTCTGTCTTTCCACTCTGCCATTTTTAGTGTGTGGGCTTTTTGCCCCATGCAGCTGCAAACTTCTCATCTACAATTAATGTAGGATTAGGCACACATTCCTGACTCTTTGTCAGCAAAGTAAAAGCTTTCCTAGAACTCTACTATAGCCTGCCACTCATACCCTGATCGTCAGGATGGTGTCACATGGCCATTTCTTGCTGCAAGAGAGCCTGGGAAAATATGATTTTGCTGTTGCAGCCTCTATAATAGGAGCCTGCAAAAGTGAAGGGCGAGAGGTAGCTAGCAGTGTCTGTCAAAGTACTCCACTAAGACTTCTCCCTTTTTTTCTCCCCAGGAGCCAGTCTGCTTGATAACTTGAATAAATACTTCTTCTTCCATCACTCCCATGGAGACACCATGACTGTCATGGATCCAAAGCAGATGAATGTTGCTGCTGCCGTTTGGGCTGTTGTCTCTTACGTCGTTGCAGACATGGAAGAAATGCTGCCTAGGTGCTAGAAAGAGCAATGAAATCTTGGGTCTGCAGCCTTGGGAAAAGCCTCTTCAAGTAATAATGTCATCTATTCATCTTCAAAGCACAACACTTTTTGTTCCTATAAGCAATGATCCCCCCACCACATAGAATCAACATATAGTAGGGATCACGATGGGGGGATTTCTTTATACTACCTTTTAAAAATATTGTTTCTACTTTGAAAATATGCACTAAATAAATCTTTGGAAGATCTCTGGTTTCATGTGTTCATTTATGGTCATTAAATATAGCAATATCAATTATTGTGGTTTATGTTATTTGCTGAAGGAGTAGAGGAATTACTCAATTGTAGTATGAACTTAATTGAATATATGAAGGCATGTGGCTTTCTAATTTGTACATTTTTATGCCATGTGAATTCTTTAAATGAGATATGGGAGTTCTAAATTAACAGGGAAAAAAGATGTCCCCATTTGGGAAAAAAATCAAGTATGTATAATTCAATTGCCTTATTAAATATGAGTACTAATATCTGTCACTATATAAATAATGCTATTTTACATTTATGTTTTGTGTATTTTACACAACATTTCCATGAAGTTGGGGCTTATTCACAATTTGCTGATAAAAAGGTTGAAGCTCAGAGAGGCTAAATAATATTTGCAGGGTCCTACAGAGCAAAAATATTGATCCCCATTCATTCTGGTGACAATCTCTACTATTCTTCCTCACATAATGTCCAATATTCAATAAAAAATAATAAGACACACTAAAAAAAGAAAGAAAATAAATAAACTCATTGTCAAGAGACAAAGCAATTAAGAGAACCAGACTAAGAGATAACTCAGAAGTTGGAACTATCAGAGAGGAAGCTTAATATTACCATGATTAATAATATGTTAAAGATCTAGTAGGAAAGATGGACTACCCATACAAACAGATGGAGAATTTTAGAAGAGAGATGGAAACTATAAAACAGAGTCAAATGCAAATGTTAAAATAAAAAAATACAATATCAGAGATAAAAAATTTCTCTTTTGGATTAACTAGTAGGTTGGACAAGGCCAAGGAAAGAATCAGTGGACTTAAATATAGGTCAATAAAAATTATCCAAACTGAAACACTAAGAGAAGAAACAATGAAGGGGAAAAAAATGCCAAGATGTATCATCCAAGAAGTATGATATAACATCAAGCGGTCTAATATACATGTAATTGAATTTCCAGGAGGAGAAGACAAAGTATCAGTTTTTTTTAATGGTAATAATTAAAAGGATTGAAGGACAGAGTAGCATCTTTGATACCTGGCAAGATGGCAGACCAGTATTGTGACTGGCCCTTATACTGAAAACAACTAAAAATGCTATTTAACATTTGAAACACCTTATTAAATATATGAATGTACTGGTTAAAAAGTAAAGAGTATTAGACGAAAGACAGAATAAAGGCATGTATCAAGAGAGATACATATTATAGAATATTAAACAAGCTTTCTCTTTGAGAAAATTCAACAAGCTTTCTCTTTGAGAAAATTCAGAGAATGTTGAAAATATTCGCTGGGTTAGTTTTGCAAACTTTTGGGGCTCAGGGAACTGTAGACAAATCCCAGATTCTGCCACATTAAGGATCCTAGAGAATCCCAACAAGAATGAGACCCCTAAAAATTATACCTTAATACAATGGTGAACTAAAAATAACTGAGGACTGCAAGAAAAGTTACCATGATTGAATAACTGCTGAATAGAGGGTCCAAAGAAACTTTCACAGATAAAGTTATAAAAAATATGAACTCACAGCCCAAAGTGGGGTGTGGGGAAGGAACCACAGCATTCTGAGCAAGAGCAAACCAAAAAAGACAACAAAAGAGTTAACCCACAGTGTCCTCTGATATTGGAATCTTTAGGTTGAGAATTTTTTAAACTATGTCCATTATGTTTAAAGAAGTAAAAGAAGTGATTGAAAATAGAATAGAGAGCAAAGTACTATAAAAAAAAATGACCAAGCATATTGTTGAAAGAACCAAATAGAACTCCTAAAAATATAAACTTTAATAAGTGAAATTTAAAAATTAAGGGACCAATTTAATCAATTTAATAAGCAAATTCCTGAATTAAAAGACAATAGTGAAGAAATTCATGAGAATTCAGCATAGAAAGCCAAAGATATGGAAAATATGAGTGAGAGGTTAAGAAATATGAAGGATAGAGCTATATTGTCTAACATATGTTTAATCAGGATCTCAGACAAATGAGACAAAGAATTATATGAAGAAATATTAAATGAAACTTTTTCAGAAATAGTGATACACACCAATCCACAGAATGAAGAAATCCAATGAATCCCAAACAGAATAAATGAAAAGACATAGAGAATCTACTGACCAAAAAAGACAAAGAGAAGATATTTGAAGTAAGAGAGCAGAGATGGATTATCTTAAAATGAACAACAATTAGACTTTTAGCTAACTTTCCAATAGCAACAGTGCAAGCCAGAAGACAGTGAAATAATAATCTTCAACATGCTGAGAGACAATAGTTATCAACCTAAAAATTCTGTGCTCAGGAAAAATACCTTTCAAAAACAAGGACATTTTCAGATAAAAAGTGAGAGAGTTTACTACCAGCAGATCTTCACTAAAGGAAATTAGAAAAAGTATACTCCAGGCAAAATTAAATGATCCTAGAGTGAACACTATCATACAAGAAGTGAAGAGACTGGCTCAGGCCAAGATCTATGTGTGATCTTTCAGGCCTGACTGTAAGCGGTGACAGGGGCTTTGCCTGGCAGGCCTGGTGGGAGAACTCTGCCACACCAGATTTAGTATACAGCCAAGGATCTTAGTTTTCCAGAGGGCAGTCAAGGACTGAGGCCCTCTAGGGCACCCAGCCATTCCTCCCCCAAACACCTCCATTCAAGGCCTCCTTATCTTATGAGCAAGACACTCTCATCCACTCTGAGTGAGTGCTTTTCCACTTCTAGCCCTTCCCCCTCCCCCTCTCCTCAGTCCCCCATAAATGTCAGAAATCACATTCAGGGCTCTTTGGCCCTGAGATGATTTCTCCTATCTGGGATGATTCATCTGTCCCTTGCCTAGTGCTATTCTCTGGGGAAAAAATGGAACATTAGGGAACTGGTGCCTATTCTTGACTGTTGCTTACACTATCTCTGTAAGTGATTAAGGCTGCTTACTTTCATTTTGGCTCAGTGTCCTAATTGACCACCTAAACCTGGCAGCTGGTCAGAAATTAAGAGCAAAGAAAGTGGTAATCCTTTTAAACAAACATGGAATAAAGAAAATAATAATAATAATAATACAGTATTTGAAAAGAACACAAGACAGAAAGAAGATGCTTGACTGGAACAGCATATTAATATTAGGTCATTAAATATGAAATGTCTGATTTCAAATCAAAAGTTTAGTTTATTATATCTCAAATAAGAAGCAATATAATTAATCAAAGTATGTGCCCAAACTATCGACACAGTTTTGCCATCTTAAGGGTAGCCTGTTTATGCCAGCAGCAAAGAAGCCTGGAGAACGAGTGGCGATGAAATCACAAAAGGTGTTTTCCACAGCTTGTTAAGAATTGAATATTTTTCCTTGCAAGAAGTGGTCCAAAGGTTGAAAGAAGTAGTAGTCAGCTGATGTAAAGTCTGGTGAATATGGTGGATGACAGAGTTTTCAAGTCCAGCCTCTGTAGTTTGAGCAGCATTGTTTTTTGTGACATACGGTCTTGCAAGAGGATTGCCCTCTATTGATCAATCTCAGCTGCTTGATCACAAGCACCCTCATCATTTCATCCAACTGGTTGCAGTAGCCATCCATTGTAATTGATTGACCAGATTTCATGACGCTGGAGTGGATAATATCAGCGCCGGACCACCAAAGAGACACCATTGGCATTTTTTGATGAATATTTGGTTTTGGACTGTGTTTTGGAACTTCATCTCTATCAAGCCATTGTGCTGAATGCTTGCAATTGTCAAAAAGAATCTATTTTTCATCCCACATAATAATATGGTGTAGAAATGGTTCGCCTTTATATCATGACAGCAAAGAAAGGCAAGCTTCGAGATGATTTCTCTTCTCACACTTGTTTAATTCATGCAGTATCCATCTATCCAGCTTTTTTACCTTGCCCATTTGTTTCAAATGGTCCAATATTGTTGGAATAGTAACATTAAACCTTGCTCTGATTTACACATAGGTTGAGATGAATTCACTTCCACTACAGCTTTCAGCTCATCATTATCCACCTTGGTCTCAGGTCACCCACATGGCTCACTTTCAAAATTAAAATCACCAGAATGGAACTTCTCAAATAATCAACCTACTGTGCGTACATTAGCCACATCCTTCCCAAACACTTTGATGGTATTTCGAGCTGTCTGCACTGCATTGGTTCCATGATGGAACTCATATTCAAAAATAACATGAACTTTTGACTTATCCATGGTTTCACAAAAATTGCTCTAAAAAAAATGTGAAAGGTAATCATAAGCCAAAACATGTGTTGGAAAGACTGAGGATGTACCTTCATAATAGGGAAAAAAAAGTGTCAAAGTGAAATGTGAAAAAAAAGTGTCAAAAAAAAAAAAGAAATGTCAAAGTGAAATGTCAGAGATAGCAACTGTCAAACTTAGTACTTAAGGAAATTGGCTATCTCATACTTAATGACCTAATACAAAAGGAAGTTACTGGAATTAGTGTTCTAAGGTCCTTGTGTTGATCTAGAAGAGACTAATGACATTGTCTACCTTTAGGCTTTGCTAAGTTAAACATGAAAGTTAAATTTTCTAAGGAAATCACAAAATAGAGATAGAGTGCCTAATAACAAAACAATCCCCCCTCCCATGGAATGAGAAAAAGATCAACACATTTGACATCATATTCAATGACTACAATGCCACTAATCAACTAAAAAAAAAATCCTAAGTTTGGAGAATATGAAATGACTTAATGAAATAAATAAATGACTACTAATTAACTTGTGAGTTACAGAAAGAATTATAATTGACATTAAAATGTATTTACAATCTGAATAATAGCACACACACACACACAAACATGCAAATCAAAACTTCTGGAATGCAGGTAAGTAGTTTCTTAGAGGCAAAGTTACAGTTCTAAACACCATAAACAAAAAGCAAAAAAAAAATAAAAACCTAATCCAATCTAAGAAGAAAAAAGAATAGCAGAATAAAGCTGAAGAATTAGGAAATAATAAATATTAGTAGAAATCAGTGAAACAGACAA